AAATTACTACATTAGTTAAATAATTTCTTCATTTTTAAAAGAACTATTTTAGTGCCTAAATAGTGGTTAGGGTAAGAAAGGATTATATTAGTTGTTACTTGGTGTGCTGAAAGGATGAACTTAGGGAAGGCTAAGACCTGTAACTTGTTTCTAAAATATACTTGCCTTTAAAGAAAATACTTGGTAATAGTAATCGAAGAATTAAAACAGTATTAAAACTTACTCTTGTTATTTTTAATTAAATAGAACAATTTGTTGAACCTAAAACCATTCTTGCTAAACATTCCAGAGGAGGCATATTATTTGTAGTGTAAAATAATTTTGCATTTATTCTAAGAAAGGTAGATAAGTGCATAACTGGTGTATTAAATGTTCATATTTGATGTTAAAAAAGCAAAAACACCGTACTGTTGTGTAGAGAATACTGTACCAAATGTATTAAGTTCATATTCTACGGATATTGTTGAGTCACTCATTATCTGTGAAAGCCGTGAACAACAACTAAAGAAATAAAAGAAAGCCATGAAATTATATTTCTTGGAAATGTTTATTTTTTTTAAATTAAGGGTCCAGAATTTATATTGCTAAAGTGTTATTTAAGTCTTGTAAGTTGCAAATTATTTTTTCTTAAACATTTAAAAAAAATTATAACTGAAAACTTTCATTTTCTGGTTACCTTGACCCAAATTTAAAACTAAATGTGGAATTTTCCCATTTTAGTACCTACCAGAGTTTGGTTTTTTTTCTCCCCCTTGCCTCCTACAAGAGTTTTAAAGCTCCAACAACAACAACAAAACACTATGCTATTTAAAGTCATTACAGAGAAGAAATGGGATGGGGGAAACTAAACAGGATGTCCAGAAAGTGAAACTGATGGTCTAAGTGTTAGAATAGTTCCATGCCTGGGAAGTCTGGATCATTAAACAGAAGGATTTTCGAAACTTAAATAGCCCTTTTAAGTTTTTTGGCTCAACATTATCAGTGTACTTTTAATTTTTTTTTTAATTCAAAACTTTATACTATTTGTGTCATTGTACTTTAGGAATGTACTATAAGAATTTAAGCATATTCAATAAAGGATATATTATTTGAATTCTTTGAGATTAATTTTATTCATAGTACTTGATTGTTCCTACTTTCTAGTTAAAATAGTAATTTTTAAAATCTTTTTTAAAATTAACAGTTTTCATTTTTTGTTCTCTTAAACTTTTTTTGTTATATTTTCTTTTTATCAAGGTAACATTGGTTAATGACATATAACGTTCAGGTGTACAACAGAATTCGATATCTGTATACACTATAGCATGCTCACCACCAAAAATCTATTTTACCCACTTAAAATTTTTGAAGTTCCATAATTATAGTTAGTACTGAAAGTTATACTATTTTGTGTGAATGTATTTACTCTAAAGCAATTGAAAATTTTCCAACTTTAAATATCTACTTAATTAAAATCAAATTTTATGAATACTCATGTCTTGGTGCTAATATCATTTATTTTTGTGAATAAAATCGTCAATGTTAGATGATTTATCAGTATAATTTTTCTGTTTTGAAACCCTCAAATATTTTAATAGGCTACCTTGAAGGGAAAGTTTTATCAAAAGTAACAATTATGCTTTGACTCAACAGTGTAACTCAAAATAAGTGTTTTAATGAAATATAAAATAGGAAATCAACCACATATAACAAGATCAAGTAGATTGAGCATGGTGAAAAACAACATAATTGCATAAATCAAGATAATTTACTGTTCCTCTTGTAAGGACTTTAAGTTCTTAAAACAATCTTGATAAAAATTGTAGGTATACAGCAGTAAATTAAGCCTTAGATTTGTCATAAAACATTGGCAATAAGGCTATTTTCAAATTATTTTTAAAAGAACGTATAAAAGATAAGTAAATTAAAACGTTAGTTTCCAAATTTGTTGGCACTAATAAGGGTAAAATCTCATAATAATCTTCATAACAAATCTAAATAGTACTCTTAATGAAATTTTGTTTAAAATGTATGTATTATTAGAACTATATTTCCAGTTTGCAAAATTCCAGAAATGATTTATAGTCTATCAGCCAGTCTATCATGACATTAAAATGGGAAATGAAGTACACATACAGTCGATTCTCATTATTCACAGTAGTTATTTTCTGTAACGTCACCATGAACACTGAATTAGCGAATACTCACTTTATTTTAGGGGAAATTACTGTATTTTGCCATGTATAATGCACATTTTATTGCCCAAATTTGTAAGGGAAAAATAAGAATGTGCATTGTACATGGGCAGTACTAATTCAGTTTCCCTGAAAGTTTGGGCTAAAAACACGGGAGCGCGTTATACACAGCAAAATACAGTAAATTCCTGTAGTCACAGCCGTTTTGTCAACTGATCAGTATATAACCTTGTTTTGTGTTTCTGTTGAAGGACCCCTTATTTAATATGTATTGTTGATTCATTAATATTGAACTCAGAGCCAGCAACACTATAACTAATGCCTGAACAAGCTTACCTAACACGTTTTCTAGTGGCACGTCCTTGCACCCAGAAGCACTAGAAAGCATTTCAGCACTATGCCTGGGGGCCATTTTAAACAAAATTACCAACAAAATAGAAAAAAATGCAAACAAACCATAGCACTGAGTAGACTTTGAAAAGGACACTTAATTACAATATGAGAGCTGAAACAAGAAGGCAGAGGTTGCCTTGTTTGACCTCAGCTGGGAATGTGCACATTGTGTTCCTCAAATTTAAAAGCACAGCAAGTACTGATTTTGGGGTACAAATAAATTTTAGTGAGTAGGTGAATTTGCAAATATGAAATCTATGAATATGAGATTAACTATATAAAATTATCATGGCTATATCTCCAACCTTGACTGTTTCTCATATTTTTCTGTCTCTGGGTTGTATGTAACTTTAGATGAAGAGGCTATTTACAGGCGTTCAAAGGTTAATTGCATCTTGATTTTAGGGTACATTTTTGGGTTTAAACATCTCAGCTAATTGTGAGCTCAAATGCTGTCCTCTCTATGCTTTAGATGTAAACAGTGGTTAATCAAATCTTTAGGTGGTGGTTATTACTTGGATTAGGACCAAAGCACTGCATAAGTACTTAGTTAATTGAATGAATAATAAACAAATCATCTAAACGCTGTCATTTCTTAGCACTTGGCTCCTGAGGAATTTAGCCTAAGCTCTTCCAATTCTTAACATCCTTGTCTTAAGTTATAAAGTGTAATTTATTTTTTCATAGTTTTCTTCAGTGGTTTTGACCTCTACCCTTATACCCATTTTGTACACTGGTGGCAGAAACTTAATTTTAGTGTTCAGTAATTCCAAGTTTAAACTAATTCATTTCACCATTCCGGCTTTCCTCACTTCCATCTCCTGGGCATGGCGTCTAAGTTATGAAGTGACTAGGTGGCATTGTGGCCTGGTTAGTGGTTGGCATGTGAACGAACATAGTGGCAGCCCTGAGATATGCATCATATTTTCTGGGTCTCAGCTGATATCACTCCAACACACTGGCATCTGCTGAGAAGCCTGCATCCCTGTCTGTCTTCAGTTCTGTGGTCCACTGCTGTCTGCAGGAACACCCCCAGCATCTCACACCTGAGTGCCCTTCAGAGCCACTGTTGCCCCAGCCAGCCTCAGCACTCTGTTGTGCACATCTGGGGCCAGCACAGTCTCCTCCTGTATATCCACATGGATTGGTAGCCATAGTCTTTGTTTTAGAATTTTAGTTTTAGTCATAAACAGGCATCACATGTTACACACATCCCTAAATTTATGGGAAAGTAATAAAATTTATTATAATACTACACTTATGTTCCATTTATAACAAATATATAACATATTTTTGTTCAGCATCTCACTTGAACTTTTTTTTAAATTGAAATCTTTAGAAGTTGATTCTTTTCTGCTCTTCTGGATTTAAATATATAAATATAATATATACTTATATATGCACAATTCTAATAGTACTTTTTTATTAAGGTTTAACTGACATATAACTTTATATTAGTTTCAGGTATACAACATGATTCGATATTTGTATATATTGAGAAATGATCACCGCAATAAGTTTAGTTAACATTTGTCCCCATACATAGTTACAAAAAAAGTTTTTTTCTTGTGAAGAGGACTTTTAAGATCTACTCTCTTACCAATACTACGTTTAATATGTTATAGGGTTTAAGGAATAAACCAAAGAAAACAGCGCATGTGAAACCAGACCTCATAGATGTTGATCTTGTAAGAGGTGAGCCTTGGATAAATAAATGCTTAATGCAATTAAAAAACAACCTTGATGAAACAGAATTCAAAATGGGTTAGATATATATGTATGTAGAAATAAAAGTAATGTTAGCCTAATTGAAGGCAAGAATAGTGTAATAGAGAATTGAAGCATTTAAATACTGTTGATTAGTTTTTCTTCCCACCAAAGATCATTCCAAGAAATAGTAAGTACAAAGGAAAAACAGCTTGTGTTTGCTTAGCAAACTATAAGGCTTGGTTATAAAAATTAAAGTGGTTAAAAAATTTATTTTTAAAATTAATTTTTAAATTATAGTTGACATACAATATTATATTAGTTTTGGGATTAAAGTGGTCACTTAAAATTCCTAACTGGAACTGACTTTTGAATATTGTCTTATATTTAGAAGATATGTGGGAGAAATTCTGCTATTATTTCAGTTAAAAAATTTTTTTTCAAAGTACCTGAGTCAATATGATAGCATGAAGAATGTTTTTAACAGTGTCTACTACCCAAAATTGGACATTTCTAATTCATAGAATAGTACAAAATAAAATTATATATGTTTTGTTGTTCTTCAAATATTGAGATTTTTTTTCTCTAAGGAAATTAAAGAATAATAAATGTACTCTATCATTTTATTTTACTTTTCTCAGGGTCTGCATTTGCTAAGGCAAAACCTGAAAGTCCTTGGACTTCTCTGACTAGAAAGGGAATTGTTCGAGTTGTGTTTTTTCCCTTTTTCTTCCGATGGTGGTTACAAGTAACATCAAAAGTCATCTTTTTCTGGCTGCTTGTCCTTTATCTTCTTCAAGGTATAAATAATTAAGTGATTGAAATGTATTTTGCTCTAACTTTCAAGATATAATATTTTTAGTGTTACTAAGGCTTTTTATTTTTATTTATTTATTTTTAAATTATTTTTTAAATTAGTTTCAGGTGTACAACACAGTGCAATAATTATACTTTTTAACCCTCAAAGTGACAACCCCCCTTCCCCCAATCCGCTGCCCCCTAAGGCTTTTTAAAAGGTATATAGTACTACTGAGTATGAAGATACTCATTTATTGTAATATTTCATTTAATAAGACACACTGGTTTGATATTAAAAATGTTTGAGAAAACAAAGCAGTTATTTTCCAATATCATGAAAATTTTAATTTGTGGATAGCTAAAGAAAAATACAAATTGAGAGGATTTTTAAAAATTAGAAAGTCTCTTCAAAATGAACCCCCCTACACATACATACCACACCAGTCTTTTTTTATACAGGTTCATTTTTCCTGCCTCAGCCATGGTTTATGTTTTCTTTGAAGCACTGAGACCGTCTTCATTCTGTATTGAAATTCTACGTACTGTGTGCTGTTGTAAGTGCTTTTCACAGATTCCTATTTAATTCTTACAACAGCCCAGGGAAGCATAGGTACTGTTATTATGCCTAGCTTATAGACGTGGGACTCTGAAAGACCTGAGGGCCCAAAGTTCACACAATCACCTAGTGAACCCAGGTTCAAGCCTAAGCTGCCTGGCTCAGAGCCACATACTGAATAGCTAGCTCTGTTACTGCCTCCCCACACAGCAGCATTCTAGTGTGCAGCCACAGCAGCAGTGTCCTATGCAGAGCATTTGCACAACACTCTACAGCGTTTGGAGTCTTAAAAGAAAAAACCACTCACTTTTCATCACTCTAACAAAGCAATGATTTTAATTTGGTTGGTACTCTTTTCAGTCCTTTTGATGTCTGACTTTTTAGAAAACACAATTGTAATCTTGAATGATTATTTAAATATGTTTTAATCAGCAAACTAAGTAAATGATAATGTCTTTTTTTTTTTTTAAGATTTTATTGGGGAATTGGGGGAGGGGAACAGACAAGTTGCTGTCCTTTTGTTCTTCAGTCTAGTTGTGGAGGACGTTGCTTCACTGGCCCATGTTGATATTATCATTGCGCTCTTCCCAGGTGAGGCAGATTGGTCGCTGGCCTCTGGACGGCCGCTCACAGCGGCTCTTGGCAGCTCACCAGCTGCCAGCCGCTCACACCGGCTACCAGGCCACACACGGTAGCTATGGCAGCCCACTGCAGTAGCAGGGGCTGCAGCCAACGCCTGTGACTCACAGCAGCCCAGCTCCAGGTCTAGCTGTTGTTCACCATCTTAGCTGTAGAGGGCAGTGTCAGTGGCCCCCATGTGGGATCCCAACCGGGGCCCTGCTGCTCAGAACTGACGTCCCAAGCCAGTTCTTAACCAACGCGCCACTCGGCCAGCCCGATAATTTCTTTTTAAGTAAATGAAAATATATAAACTCAGACTTTTATTTAGGTAAAGTTGTTTCTTGTGTCAGAGTACATCTTATATGCATAAAAGGGAATGTGAAGGTTTGTGATTTTTAATAGACTGTGTGTCTGTGTTTTTCTGATTAAAGAAATCACACATGTTCATTGCAGAAAATGTAGGGAAAAAAAAAAAAGGACCCATAGTCTTGCCTTTCAGTTTACTTTGTGACGTGTTTTATATAGTTGAGATTATTCTGTATAAACAATTGTATTTTTTTACTTAATGTCATAGCAAGTATCAGAGTCTTTATAAATATAATTTTAAATTATTGGAAAATATCCTATCCTACATCAATATTGGGCATTTAAGCTTTTTGCTGTTTTTTACTATTATAATTACAACTGAAATGAACATATTAGTTTGTGAAGTTTTTTATATTTTGAATTATTTTCTTATGTTAAATTCCTAGAATGCCTATAGTTAAATATAATAACATTTCCAACAATTTTCATACAGTTTATAATTGATTTCAAGAAGTTGACCTTTGTTGTTGCTAAGTATGCCATTACATTATATGATAGTTCTTCTAAGTGTATTTTTATCTTAATTTTTATTGAGTTACTTTCTTGTGTTTCCTTTTCTCCCAAAAGTATTTAAGAGAGCTTAATCTATTGTTAGTATAGTTACCTTCTATGTTTTCTAGCTTACCTAAAGGAGAAAACTATTCTAAAGTAGTCAGAAATTGCAGTTGCTTATTAAAGAAATAATCAGTACTATTGATTGTAACCACTGTGCATTGTGCTTTTTTAATATTGTTGCTTTCTAGTATTTGAAGAAAACAAGTTTCCAGTGTAACTATTAGAAGTTCACAAATTGTGCCTGAAATTCACTTACTGGCTTTCCTAAGTTCATTAGAGAACACAGGTTTGATCAGGCATGAAAAAGATATTTTTCAGTTCAGAACTGAAGTTTAACATTATGAGTGTTCATAAGTGAGGAACACTGAACATTCTCCTAGTAAAACTTAAAGAAGTGACTTAACCTGCGTCAAGTTGCACAGCCACTGACAAAATGCTATGATCCTAGTCACCCTCAGTAGCCCGCTGGTACCTTCAAAACCCCCAATGCCTCCATCTCGGTGCATATAAAAGTAGGGTGCACTCTTCTGAATTACGTCTTCATTCTCTATCCAACCCTCATCCCCTGAAAGGTAGAAAAAATCGTATGCAGTCAGATTTGGTTTTATATAACTACATATAGCTTTTTACTTCAATTACATGTCTTCTAAGTATCTCAGCTTTATATTCTCAGCTCCATCCCTCCATTCTGCTTGTATAATTTCTCATCTAGATTACTGCCAGGAGCCCTTATATCTCTACCTTCTGTACATGTTCCTTTTAAATTACAAATCCAAACCAGCCATTTAAAATCTAAATTGTTTTCTGGTTATCATGGACTTCAAGATACAAGCCAAGTTTTCAGTCAATCCCTTGTATCTCTCCCCAACTTTAAGCAGGCTAAATTAGTTCTCTGCTGTTTCTTAAACATTCTGTGCTTTTTTTTTTTTTTTTTTTTTGCCTATATGCCTTTGGACATGCAACTCTCTTTGCCTGGGTAGCCTTTTTCCCTTTTATTTACTTAGTCAACTCCTATTTGTGCTTTTAAAGTTTGATTAGGCATTGGATATCACCTCCTTTGAGAATCCTTTCATAACCTCCCAATTTAGTTACATGTCTTTCCTATGTATATTATATCACTTATCATAGGTATTCTAGTAGTCTGCTTGGACTGCCATAACAAAATCCACAGACTGGGTGGCTTAAACAATAGAAATTTTGTTTTCTTACAGTTTTGGAGGCCGGAAGTCCAAGCAAGATTAGGTGCCATCAGGGCTGGGGTCTGGTGAGGCTTCTCTTTCTGACTTGTACATGACTGCCTTCTCACTGTGTCCTCACATGGCCTTTCTTCTGTGTGTTAGTGGAGAGAGATCTCTGGTATCTCTTCTTATAGGGACACTGGTCCTATTGGATTAAGGCCCCACCCTTAATGACTTCATTCAACCTTATTACATTCTTATAAGTCCTATCTGTAATACAGTCACAATGAGGGTTTAGGGCTTCAACATATGAATTTGGAGGGTAGGAACACAATTCAGTTCATTATAGGTGTTTTAATTGTTTCTCTATATGTCCACATTGGCCTCTAAACTGAGGAGCGGCAAGGAACATAGATTAGGTCATATTTGTCTTTTTACTCCCACCTGCCACTAAATCCAAAAGATTGACAGACCTAAAAATTGAACTTTAGAAATTTTATATCCTGATGATTGTCCCTAGAGTTGTGCTTGGCCAGTATATGAAGAAACCCTGCCTTGGAACTACTTGTGCCCGATAAACAACATTTTTGTCTTAGTTGATCTCTTGTAGAAATCTCTAGAAGTACTGTCTAGCAGAAATCTTCAGCAGTACTGTCTAGTTCACAGGGCTTCATTAAATAATCAAAAAGTATAGCTTAGAGAAGTGAGTGTTTTCTGCTTATATCTTCTAACCCTTACCTGGGGTGGGGGGGACGAAAGGGAGGAGGTGATACCAGAACCACTGGCTCAGGAACAGAGGCCATGCATGGAAGGGACACGGCCACTTTGAGAGACACAGTGGAAGAAAGAAGGAAAAAGAGGAATAAAGTGGCTTTCCCTCCCCCTTTCTAGTGTGTTCTATTGACAGAATTTCACAGAGTATAATAACCCCTGTTGAGATTGAAAATTGTTTTTAGGTTCCCAGCCCTAGTGTTAAAGAGAAGGGTGGTCATGGGGCGGAGAGTGCATTTAAATAACCAGCAAGAGGTTATATCAAATTGAAGTTCTTTAAGATGTTCTTCTTTGTGCCTAAAATTCTGAACCTCTTAAGTAGCATTTGCATTCCTCTCCTTTTAAAAGGTGATTAAGTTAATGATAGGTAATAAAAGTACCACTTACCAATCAATATCAGATACTATGTAAGGAAGTTTTCAAAGTGTTCTACATGTATACCCCACTTGAAACCTATATACCTATATGCATTTTTTATACAGAGGATAAACCAAGGCTCAAAAAAGTTAAGGAACTTGATCAAGGTCACATTAGAGTTCATATTAAAAACAACAAAAACTCTATATTTTTCCAAATTCCAGACTCTGTTATAAAACAACTAGAGAATTGGAGTTAAATTCCAGGGTAATTCATAAAGATGATTAGCATTTTTTTAAATTTAAGTCTTTTTTTTTCTTTTTAAAGAAACTTATTAAGAGAATATAAAGCCGAAATTTGTTTTATGATACTTCTTAAACATATTAGAAAATATAGTGGTGTTTTAAGCTGAAATGCTAGACCAGGATTCTTTCAGTTGCAGGGGGCAGAAACTAAATATAATCTAGCTTTTGTAAAAAGTATTTTTTTAATCTTTACTCTTATAAAAGTTTAAAAAAAACCCCAAAACCCAGGGAACTAAATAGATTTATGCAATAACCAGTGTGACCATATGTTCCAATTTGCCTGGGACTGTCCAGCTACTATCTAAGTTTATTTGTGGTGCCCTCATGCTTTTGTTAACAGCTCTCATCTCACTCTCAAAAGAATCCTGATTTAGATGATAAATTGCATAATCACTCTAAACACCCATATGCCCATCTCTTTGATTAAATAGTTAACATTTTGGCATATTTACTTAATTTGTTTTGTTAAAGTAAATTATATACATCATGACATTTTACCCCTGAATGCATCAGTATGCACCTCTTCAAAATAGGTACATTACACAATCACGTTACAATGATCACACCTAATAAAATGAACAAAAATCTCCTAATACTGAAATTCTCCAATTATCCCAAAACAGGATTAGGTACTCGTAGCCCCATGGTTCAAGCATTGCTGAATCTAGAGGCTCAGGTGATGTCTTCACTTTTTATGCTGTCAATTCTGCTTTCCTAATGATGTCTCGTTCTTAGAGAGGCTTTTTCTAAGTGGTGGCTGAGGTGAGCCTGGCAATTTCCTATTTCCATAGTCCTTAGTGTTTGTGATCCAGGAGAAAAGCCTTCTTCAAGCACCTCTGCTAATCCCTGAAAAAGATCCTGATTGGCCCTCTTCGGGTCACATGCCCATCTTTTTATTAAGTACTGTGCCCAGAGTGAAGACTGTGACAAGCCAAATTATATGTCTATCCCTGAGGTGAGAAAAATAAGACCATTTGATTGACAAATAAGGAGGCAGATTCCCAAAAGATAGAGAGTTTATGTCTATAAAGCCTAAGGGATGCTGAGCAGGCAAAAACAAGATTTCTTCTTCATGTGGTTAGCATTAATGGGTTTTTAGTGGTTTCCCTGAAAAATATTCCCAAATAAATTTATGTTATTAATTCTGAGTTGATAAACCTCTATTGAAAAAAGCTTTTTATAGCTTTATTATACAGTTACCATAGACTTGCTTGTTTGTTAAACAAATAAATAAGTGCACTTGAGGTTAGTGTGGTTCTATTGATTGTCTGAGATCTTACCAGGAATGACATTAGATGTGTATGCATGTACTTTTCATTGCAGTGCTCAGGTGTGTACTTTAGAGACTCTGTTGGGTGATATCTCGTTCCAAGAGTTTATTACTGAACAGCATGGTTAGCCAGTGGCAAACAAGAAGATAGTTTGAAAGAGCTTGTCTGGAGTAACATTTAAACTCATTTAAATTTAGAAAAATAATCTGGCAAGAAGCAGTGTTAAAACAGTTTTTAAAGCTTTTAAGAAGTGACTGTTTCATCTGTACTTAAATGCATTTTCTTTCCCTCTTTGTAGTTGCCGCAGTAGTATTATTCTGTTCCGCTTCTAGCCCACACAACATACCTCTGACGGAAGTGATCGGGCCGATATGGCTGATGCTGCTCCTGGGAACTGTGCACTGCCAGATTGTTTCAACGAGAACACCTAAGCCTCCTCTAAGCACAGGGGGCAAAAGAAGAAGGTACTGTCTGTTTAAAAGTGATCTCTGTAGTTTCTGCAGTTTGAATCCAGGATTGTTCTTGACTTGAATAAAATGGGATCTTGTAAAGATGTTCTTTCAAATAAAGCATTGAGCTTCAGAATCAGCTACCAAATGATTTAGTTTCTGTATTTGCTTCAGGGCCATTGTGAGACCACGTACCTGTTTTTTTTTTGTTTTTTTTTTTTTCTTGAAGCCCATTTCTAAGGCATCTAATATCAATGTAAGGAATATATGTTAGGTGGAGTTGCTAATAATTCCCACTATTCACAAAATTTTGTTCTTATAAGATGCTTTGACAAAAAACAAGAGCCAAGAAAAAATTTTTAGCTAAATTCTATTTATTAAATACTATTTGAAGCTTTTTAATATTGTTCTCTAGATAAGTAAACATAGCAAATCTCACTGGCTACCCAGCACAATGGAGTTCTGTGTTAAGGGTCTTGCAGAGCAATTCTCTTTTGAATATTGTTGCTAAGAGATTGTGACATTTGCAGTTTGGGGATGTTGAGATGTAAGCACTTTTCATTTTGAAAAGATAATACCTACATTAAATAAATAGCATTGCTGATCAATTAGATTATAATGCTGTTCGGTCTAAATTTTCTTCTTTCTTCATCTACAGATGAGTGGCATTCACGTAGGGAAGAAATGCTTTTATAAATATCTGTCCAATGCGATCCTTACAACCTAATGTCCACTGCCCTGTCCGTATGAGCAAGGAACAATACCTTAACGTTTATAGAAATTGGTCTTGAATATGTACTTTATATTTGGGTTAACTTTTATCCAGTAAATCTCAATTTTATTATGTATTAAAGTTCCTGTGTTTGTTTACCCAAATTTTGAACATATTAACTGAGAAAGTGGTTGTTAAAATTTTAAAGCTACCTTCCGTTCTTAATCTCTTCTGATGAAGGAAATTAAGGAAAGCAGCCCATTTGGAAGTACATAGGGAAGGAGATGGTTCTAGTACCACAGATAATTCACAGGAGGGAGCAGTTCAGAGCTACGGTACAAGCACCTCGTACAGCGTTGGCGCTGTCTTCAGAGATCTCTGGCATGCTGCTTTCTTTTTATCAGGGTTTGTATTTATTCTAGGCTTTATTGGTATAGAGATGCACTATCCCTTTTCTGGCACTTCAGTTTCCGGTGTTGATGACTTTAAATATGATAGCCCTATTATGGATTTTGTTTTGATAAATTATAGTGCTATATAGATAACGGACAACTAGAGACCATAAAGTTTACTTTGGAAGATGTGTAAATATTTATGAGATTGAATATATACCATCAAAATATATGTAGTTAGGATTTCTTGATTTTGGCTTCTTTCGTGATTTATCAAGTACTATTTTACTTCTATTAAATTGGTTATTTTTATCAGCACTATAGGTCAAATTGGCTTTATTAATGTCATGAGAGTTGTGTGGTATTTTTTTATTTAATCCTTGCCTCAGTTACCCAAAATGATGTGAAATAAAATATAAAGGCATTGTTATTTAAAAGTATAAAGTGTGTTCTATAGTATGGAATTCTATTTTTATATATTGGGCTTTTTGTATAGTTTGTATCACAATAAAATTTACCAAATAAGGAAATATAATTATGGCATACTTCAAAAATAAATTAAACATAACTCAATCTTGTATTTTTATTCTGAATAGTTAATTCAAAACATTTAAAAGAGTTTTATTACTAATGCACATATACATATAATTTTGAATATAGTTAAAAAGCTATGATTAAGATGCTGACTATAACTGATAAAAGTTGCTGAGTTAATATATCAAGAAAAGGGATACTGCAAATAACTATTTTGGTCACTTGTTAACGCCTCTACTAATATCATTGTTTTGTCAATTTGTGATTGTGCTCTTATGATAAAGTTTATCATGCATTATATAATTAAGCAATTATATCCTGGGCATATTTTCATTGATTGCAATTTGGGGGAAATTTTCCAGAATTTTAATAGTTCGCAATCACATTGCATGAAGTTGCTTCCTCCAGAGATATAGGTTTGGTTTGGTTTGGGTTTTAACTTGTGTTGAATTCTGTCTCTATCTCTGTTAGGCTCTATATATCCATATATGGTTCTCCTTTCTAAGAATAGGATGTGACAGTTTTACCACTGCAAAGTCAGTTTCTTAAACATTTCTCAAGACTTCTTGATAAACAGTTATAAATTGGATAGGGGATATGTTTTGCTTTGGGGAATCATTTAGTTGTTTTGGTTGTCCAAAACTGATATTGTGTTAAGTAGTATTCAGAATCCCCCTAACAGAGTAGATTGGTGCCTTTGGAATTCTACTGTTTCTCAAATGAGATTCAGACTTCACTTTCCCTCCTTATGGACTGTAGAATGACCAGCCATTGATATTATAAAGGCTAAATCCCTTTGGATTCATTCCCTTTTATCATGACAACTATAATCTAAATGTTTTTAAAGATGCACTGTTTTCAATTATCTCATTCTGGGACTGGTTTGTCAGCATATGAATAAGACTTTTAAATATTAGTTACAGAAAGATCTTAAGAAAAATGTTAATTTTAGAAAATCTAAACTGAGCTCTGAAATCTTGATAATGTTTTGTTCTCTCAGGTCAGAAAGGGCTTACACTGAAATATCAGCTGTGACTTAAAATTGTTTCTGGTGATAAAAAGTTAAGGTATCTGAATTGACATAACTAATGGGAAATAAATGCTTAATCACACAAATATCTAAGTTTTGTGTATGGTGTCTCGTTGATTTTCTAGATATTAGGATGAAAACTATTTTTACATCCTGTATTTATGAGTTGGAAAGGCCCTATTTATCATTTCTAAGTACATTTCATTCTCAAAATAAAACTATTTCTTTTTAAAGCAAGGCATACATAGTATTTCTCATAAAAAATGAACTATTGTAAAAGAACTCTATGAGCCTGTGAAAACAAAACCAAAGAAAGTATGAGTTTAAAAAAATACAGAAATCAACCATATTTCCTGATTATTTAGTACTTTTAATTTCAGTGAATTATAGTCTTAAATTAGCATAATTATAGTTTCTACTAAAAATATAAAATTGGAAGAATTACACCTAGATTGCATATCTCTTCAGCATAATACCTATTTCAGAATTCAGATAGATTCTAAGATTTATTTCTTGTTCTTTAAGATTCATTTGACCTTGACAGTATTATTGAAAAACAGTAAATAGGAATTATGCCCTCTTTTGAGTAGAAAAAGCAACATATAAACTTGGTGCTTAAGACACAGATACCAGAATAAAACCAGGTCCCATGTTAGCTCATATGCTCTACTGACCTACCTTAAAGATTTCTGTCCCATTTTATCTTCATATTTACTGTTCTTAACACTAAAGTCACAGATTTAATAAGTTGGTTTTCTTCACATAGTAGAGTACACTGTATAATATAACATAAAGTGGAATGCAGTCCCACCAGAGATTTTTGGTGCAAGGATTAAGATTTATTTTTTAGTGACTTTAAACAGTTCAGTCATTTAAGCTGTAAATCGGGTGAAGCTCTGTTGCCTGTCTTCCACAGACAAGGATGAAGACCATGTAAGTGCCAGTATATCCCAGCTTTTTGAAGACTATGTTATGGCCACAACTAGGTACCTCATTAAATTTACTAAAGTCACTGTATTTTAGAGTTGGACTAGTCCTAGAAAGATTACAAGTCCCATAAATAAACCAAATTTGGTACACACTTCTCAAACTTATGTGTTGTAGAGGCTATCTGGGGGCCCAAAAGTCTTGTTAGCATATATTCAAGGTGCATGAATGGTTCCAGATAGTAGGGGTCATAATATGGAGGCTCCTGTGTCATTTTCTTATATCTGAGATTTTATGTATTCTATTTCTCTAACCTCCCCTCCCCCTTGATGCCTAACCTTGCGGAAATGAGAGCAGAACTACCAATTTCATACTATGTTCTAGAACAGGGGTCGGCAAACTGCGGCTCGTGAGCCACATGTGGCTCTTTGGGTACGTTTTGTCTCAAAAGTTTGCCTACCCCTGAAAGAGCCAATCCTGTCCCTCACAACAATTTAAAAATTATTCAAGAGCCATAAATATATTTTTCAAATCAGGAAAATTTAAAGTACTATTATAAATGAAACTATGATAGTTTTATTCTCATTGTCAATTTTACTTCAGAGCCACATATATGTACCCAAAGAGCCACATGTGGCTTACGAGCCACATGTGGCTTACGAGCCGCAGTTTGCCGACCCCTGGTGGCTCTTCTGTCTCAAAAGTTTGCCGAACCCTGCTCTAGAACAAGAGTTATCTGCTGTTACCTTTCCCCCTACCATCTAACTCTCTAATGTCCTTTAATACTGAAAGAATGACCTTCAGTTGGATCTATTTATATACCTCTGAATATTTTTGAGAGCACCAACAAATACTTCCAACTTTTCTTTTCCCATGGCAATACAGAGTACCCTAAGTGTTTTTGATTACCTGACTAGGTTTTTAATATAGAAACACACTGTTTTTCATGTTGGTACAATAGATTTGAGATTTTATAAGCTAAATTTTATAAGATTTTTAAAGTTCTTTAAAAGCTGTGTTAACTTTTTGTTTAAAGTTTTTAATGTGAAAAACACATCCAGTTTTATGATTTATTTATGGTGTAGAGTGTACATTTGTTTGCGTTTTTTCAGAAAAGACTAAGATCATCATTGATAAATGATGTTCACAAAAGTTCTTAGTTCACAAAAGAACTAAGGTAATAATTTTATACATATATTTCTAAAGGTTATTTCCTCCTAGGAGTATTTTTGACATAGAGCTATTATCCCTCTTGAATGTCAAGCATAATACTTTAAAGAAAATTCTACACAGGTCATACCATCCAAAGATTAAAATGATAATCTAGTTATAAAACTGTAAGCCTTGACCATGGCAGTATTATTTCTTTGCGATCACTTTTTGTTCAAAATCCAGTGCAGGAAATACTGTTTAAATCATGGAGTAACTAAAATCAGTATAGACTTGTACATCTCTTGTTTTCAAAATATTACTACTAACCTCACTGCACAGATGCCTGTGACTCACGGGGCTTGGGTTGATCTAAGAAAATATTAATTCTCGTTTTATTAAGTGAATCTATTGTATGCATTAAGTGTAGCTATCAAAAGGTAGATATTTTGTGGATAGTACTAAAAAGTACCATTTATTTCTTTATGTGCATTTCTAACACCAGCATCTTTCTACCCTACTTTTTATTTTTGGTAGGGAATGATGATTTAGGGAATGATATATGTTTATTTTAAAATCAAAATGCTATTTACTTCATTTGCTTCAGTTTACTTTTGCACATATTTTAAAGTTCATTTAAGTAGAAGTAGCTTCCCTTTAAAAAAATACTCTAAGAATTTTACAATATTTATTTGTTTAATAAATCTTATTCCCACCAACTTTCCTTAATATTACTCCCTAAAACAAGGGAATGAGAGAATTACTTAAACATCTAAGTCTTGGTAACCTGTGTTCCTTTTGAGAAATTAATATTCTGTAAAGTTTTTCAGCTGTTAACTGCAATATGAATGTTATGGTACAGTCATTGGTGAAACAACCTCACTTGGAACAGTCACAATTTTTTACCCTTTTTACCTGCATTAATTGCAGTTTAGCTCTCCTACCATTTCTCCTTTCAGCATTTCCTCTATGCTCACATCCAAAGAATACCCTAATCAGGGTACAAATCAGTTTGTACTTTTAGAGACAAGTTTCATGCTTTCCACATTTTAAAGACTACAGGGCAGTCACTTTGTAGAATGTCCCTTAATTTGGGTTTGTGCCTGTGGTGTTCTGGATCTGGTTCCAATTGACTTGTGAGAGTAGAATATGCATTTCTCTTCCCAGTTCAGTGTTCAGTGTTATCAGCTGGCACTTGTAATTGGCCATGGAGGGATTATTTACACCATGGAAATCAGGAAACACTACAAACAAGGACTTTGTACCCCTGGAGAGCTGGTCATTCAACATTTAGCAGCATACTTCTGGGTTAGTACTGTGATGTTTCATCATGATTAAACTTAAGTTTTGCGTTTTTGGCAGGAATATCACAGAAGTGATACTTTATTCTTCTCATTGCATCCTATTGGGTGGCAAGCAGTGTAGATTTGTTCCCTTACTAGTGATATATTAAGTTATGCGTTTTTGGCATGAATATCACAGAAGTGATACTTTATTCTTCTCATTGCATCCTATTGGGTGGCAAGCAGTGTAGATTTATTCCCTTACTAGTGATATTTACATTAATTACTTAAGACAGTATCTGCTAGATTTCTGCATTGTGAATTTATTATTTTTCCCTTTATAATCAATAAATGTCCTGTGTGAACATACAATAAGATTATGAAAATAGCTCATTTCTCATCCTACCTTTTCCTTCTAGTTTTAGCATCCATTGATGATTCTTGCCTAATTTATTATAATGATTGCCAAATGATGATTTTTCTAAGTCCATCATTCCTTCTACATTTATTATTTGGCGTTCTACTTTAAGGAAAAGCTTTCCCTTATTTATTTACTCATGGATTTGTATTTTATTCGTTACTGTTATTATTTATTTTGATGATCAGATTGTCCTGAATTTGGCCAGTGGAGCCCCTCTGAGCAGTTTCTTTGTCTTTTTGACATGTCGCCATCATTCTTTGAGCACTTCCTTACTTTCTGACACAACAGAATGTCTCAAGTTCTACTTGTACTTCTGCCTCAGCCCTGGAATCAGCCATTTCCTCAAGGAGCATGTTCTACAGAAACCAATATCTGAGTGCTAGGTGTATTCATTATTCATAACTTTTGGGGTGTTCTACCCCAGGCCTTCTTCAGTAGGAGAGCTGGAAACAGTGTGTTTGTGTGTGTGTGTGTGTGTGTGTGTGTGTGTGTGTGTGTCCCTTTACATTTATTTCTATATGTATCTAGATATAGTATAAACCACTAATTTGCAATGATAGCTCCAATTCAAGTAGCATATCACCGAGTTCATTTTATCTTTTTATTTATATTTTCCTTCTCTGTCACTGAAAAACAAGTTCCCATTGTCCTCAATATACTTACTTATTCAGTTAATCTTCTGTATGTAGCCCATCTCCCAACCCTGCTGGGCCGCACCTGGTACCCTGCCCTAAAATTGCCTTCGAATCAGCTGCCCCTCTGTCCCACTCCACCAATATTCTTGCAAGTGCTATTATTACCAGCCACTGCCAAGTTGCATGATTTGTATTTTGAGCTTCTTTGTAAACTCTGAGGTTGTACATACATTTTGTATTTTGTCATTTCAGCTTGGTTTGCAACTTACGGCATTTAGTTCATGAGAAACATCAGATAGCTACTATAGTTTAAGTAACTTACTGTTCATGACTCCTGAGAGTTTGTTACACAGTGGAGAGAGAACCCAGAGAAGATTGGAAGGAGGCAGGAATAAGGAAGGGAGTAAATGGGAGATAGCTGAAAGGTATCATATAGAATGGATGCTACTAGTCCTCATTCCCCTGCCCTGTCCTGGTAAGGAGAGAAGGATTCTTAAAGCTGCAGTTATTACTAATTCAAAGCCCTTTGCACTGGCCCCTTATCTTTTTCCCTCTCTGGTTCTGGTTCTCTCCGCAAGTTTTCAGCCACTTTTTCTACTTTGACTACTGGCTTCCAGGCTACTGGAAGTTGACTACTGGTTTTCAAATGCCTGCTTATCTTAGGATGTTCCTGGGTGCTTCTGTCTTTCCATCTTTCTTCCCAAATAAATTTCTTCTCTTACATATCCTGTCTTATTACTGGTTCCACCAACTTTCCAGTCTTCCTTCACCTCCTTTTCCCACCTCCCTTTCTAGCCCAGTGTAATTTCCATGAACCTTTATAAACAACCTTTCCAGGAAACTCCTTCTCTATCTTTGAGTTCTTACATTTTTAGGTTATCAAGTCACTTCACTTCCCTTGGTCTTTTTCCACATCTCCATGTTGCACAATATTAAAGGGAACAATTGATAACTGGTGTTTCTCTCCCTTCTTCCCTGGGCAGAAAAGATCACGCGTTTTCTCTGCACCTTTTATTTTCTGTTTTTGCTCATGCTGCTCTCCAGTGTAATCCATTTTCCTCTCAACCTCTGCCACTCTTCAATGATCTTTGCTCTATGGCTCATTTCCTTGGTCTTTTTATGTGTCTTAGGGTTGTATAGAAAGAAAAGGGTCAGAAGATTGGGCTTCTGAGTTTTGCAACTCTGGAGATGTGTTCTGAGTGACTAGAAAGCATGGGAGCTGTGTCACGCATGTGGGAAGTATGGCCTGTCTGTCCCCTTTGTACCTTGCAGGAGAAGATCAGGAAGGAGAGGGGCCTGTGTGTAGAAGACAAACTTTCTAGGCTTTGAGGAATGTGTTAAGAAGAAATACTAACAGGCAGTTTCCCAAAGAGTGGTCAGTTGGAGGTAATGTGGGGAATATAATTAACCTTATAAGCAGATGGTCTTAATCTAGTGCTGTTTTCCTCTAACTGGCTGTGTGACTTTAAATGAAGTCAGTTAGACCTCTTTTTCTTATTCTTTACTTCCAAAATGAGCATTTAGAATAGGGGAATTCTAAGGTCCTGCACAATTCTAAAAAATTCTAATAGAACTGAGTAATTATAGTGTTAAAGGTAACTGTTTTGGTGCATTTTAAAAAACTTCTTTCATCTACATGAAGACAATATACTAGTTTTATTTTACCTTTTTCACAAAACTGATACTCTGGAGAAAATTTAAGGGGATTTATTTAAATATAATTAAATACAATTGCTCTTTAATAATGTTTATGATAGACTTAATCTGCATTGAGCACATTTTAATTTTGTGTGCAACTTACTTTGTATTTCTACTAACCATTTTCTTTGGATAGCCATTCTTTCACTCATTGGAATCTCTGAAGAGGACTCCTCAAACATTTGCCTATTAATCAGAAATGTCTTGTTTATTATTTCCTATGTTGTATCTTATAGAGAAAAAATTAACTCCTATAAATGAAAACCTCAATTGTAGCCTTTTAGATATTTATAAGCTAACATGATTACTAATATTTTTTCAGAGTATTTCAGTGGGTGAAAGAGGTTACTTCTTTATTTTCTTTGTGTTCTCTATTTCTCCTTCTTCCATTATTTAGAACCTTGTATAAAGTTTTCCCTTTTTCCATATTTTTATGTAAATGTCCTATGTCTCCACTGTCTATTAATTTATCAGAGATATGTATTTATATATACTAATGGTAATGTATTTGGGTAAATGAGAATATTAAAACTAAGTTAAACCATTAATTGCAACTTGACCTGGTAATTACCTGAGATAGTTTTATAAATAAAACTTTAAAAATATTAACTATAATAAAATGGGCAAAATTTTTATTGTAGATATTGCTCACAGACAGGTAGTTTTGATCAAGAATAAGTTAGGGATATCCTTAGAATTGCTATTTCTAAGACCTCAGAACCTATAAAGTAAGCTGAACTGGGACATTGATTTACAGGTCTATTTTACATGATGGATACTATATTTCTCAATTATTTATTGTAAAAATAAGGTAGCCATTAAAATTCTGAGAATTATTAACAGATCATAATTTCTATCACTAACCCATCCAAAGTAAACTAAGTCCATATAACATGCTTCTGCATGGTTTTTTTTTTTAGATCAAAGAAAGCAAAGAATTCAATTGATAAATCAACTGAGACTGATAATGGCTATGTATCCCTTGATGGGAAAAAGACTGTTAAGAGCAGCGAAGACGGAGTACAAAGCCATGAACCTCAGTGTGAAACTATTCGACCAGAAGAGACGACCTGGACCACAGGAACACTGAGGAACATTCCCAGCAAAGTAAGTGGGATTTTTAAAAATAGTTTGCTTGTGTGATTTTACATTAGCTAATGGGAAGTGACTTAGACATAGTAATTGCCTTTGAACTATGTATTTTCTCCAGAATGTATTCTGTGAGCCTTTATAAATCACACTGATGAAGCTGAAAATTAGATGAAGTAATGTGAATGAACTTAATTGCCAATATAACCTGGCACCTTCTTGAATTGATTAATGACTTCAATTTTTCCAAATGCTAAAGCACTTTTAATTTATAGTTGATACTTATTAAACCTTTTCTTGCCCCATTTCCATGTGTGTAAGAGTTTCGTTTAAATGGAACATCTAAATTATTCTAGTAAGTGAACTAGGAAACTGATCTTCCATTCATAGTCTCCATAAGAAAATATTACCTTGTTTTTCCTACCTTCGTTACCTTTGGTATCAGCACATTTGTTTTGTTTTTAATTTGAAAAAAATTCTTATTGAGGATGTATTTGTTAAGATAACAACTGTTTGTTTACTTTTCCAAAATAATGAAGAAACCATGGGTTTTCTTTGTAACAAAGCCTAATGTAATATCTTCTATCTCTGTTTCACTGTGGTTTTTTTTTTTTTTGGTTAAGTAATTTATTCTCTAAAAGATGTTACAGTATAAAAACATGGTCAAATTAAAAGATGTTGCCTCTGTTATGTGTAGGAGTGTGAGCACGAACATTTGTGTTGAGGAAAATAAAGAAAAGAGAATTCTCTAATTTTGAATGGAGTATGTGTTACCCCTTGCAGTACATGTATTTTCAGTACCAGTAGTTATACAATAAGTAGCATGGGGCTGTAATGAAATATAGTCAGCCCCTTACTTGACTTTAGATTTTTGAAGCATTTAGTTGTCTGATAATGTGAGCCTCACATCACTATCATCACTCAACAAATAAGTTTTCAGTCATACAGCTTTCAAACACATTTTCAGGTGTGTTTACTAACAATTACTAAACATATGAGAGGAACATGATAGTGTCCGTAAAACTTATGCTCTGGAGTCTCTCAATTTCAGAATTCTGAAATCTGGATGTCTCTTACAAATTGATATGTATATAATATTGTCTGATGTGTACACACATTTAGCTAGCATTCACCTTCTGCCTCATAAGCCAGTGGCAGTCTTATTTAATCAGCGGTGGTCTTATAATTGATCACATTTTCAGTTTGTGAAAGTAGTGTAATTAGTTCCATCTCAGGTCTCTCAGCTTTTTTTTTTTTAGATTTTTTTATTGGGGAATTGGGGGAGGGGAACAGACAAGTTGCTGTCCTTTTGTTCTTCATTCTAGTTGTGGAGGACATCGCTTCACTGGCCCATATTGGTATTATCATTGCGTTCTTCCCAGGTGAAGCAGTCGCTTGCCAGCCATTGGACGGCCACTCACAGCAGCTCAGGAAAGTTCACCCCAGCTGCTGGCCAGCCCCACTGCAGCCTACACCGTCGCTGGCGACTCATGGCAGCCCAGCTCCAAGTCGAGTTGTTGTTCACCATCTTAGCTGTAGAGGGCACAGCATCACTGGCCTTCATGTGGGATCCGAACCGGGGCCCTGCTGCTCAGAGCTCGTGTCCCAAGCCAACTCTTAACCAATGTGCCACTCGGCTGGCCCTCTCTCAGCTTATTTTAAATGGTTTCTGTTCTGCTTTCATCCAATTTTTTAATTTTGTAAGCTATTTCAAATTCTTTGTGAACAGAAACATTATAGAACAATATTTGACAAATGGCTGTTGAATTACTCTTAAAATTAAAATATGAATATGGTCACTGATAGACAACATTTTTTTCAGAAAATTGGGTGATACTGATCAGTTATTTTGAGGTTTTTGAAGGTATTTGAATCTGTATGTATATATATATGTATAATTTAAAATTTTGCGTTTTTAAAACTACAAGTCAGTCAGAAAAAGGCAGTAACCCTCTTTGTGTACTCCCAATTTAGGATACCCAAAGGACAATAACAAATGTCTCTGATGAAGTCTCCAGTGAGGAAGGTCCTGAAACAGGATATCCATTAGGCCGTCACATGGACAGGACTTCGGAGAGTGTTCTTCGGAATAGAAAGTCACACCATTATAAGAAACACTACCCTAATGAGGTATATACTTCGGTCTTACATATGTTACATACATATCTATTCTATGTTACCAATTTACAACTTCTTTCAACATTATTTGAAATATAATTGTTGAATATAATTATTGAGATAAAATATTTCCCATCAGTATCAATATCTTCTTGTTGTATGATCAGGATTTGTAAAGTAGCAGTTTAGATTTATGTGTTGTATACATGATAAATAGCCACATATTTATACTCATTTTTTACATTATCTCTGAAGACTCATACATTCAGTTTGTTTTTTACCATTAAAGAACATCCTGGAGAGACAACCTGTGAGCTCTTGTCTTAGTCTTTTCCGCCATTTCAAAGGCTTTATAACTTCCTGATTATAGTAAAGTTATTATTCTAAGTGACTTCCTTCATGTTACTGTCACCAGTTATTAAGTTGCCCATACTAATAAATTCAACCTTTTTTCTTCTTTGATTCTATTTTTCTTTATTAATGTTTGTTTTTTTTCTAAACCCTTTTCTAACTTTATCAAATCTCTTGAAGTTATCACATTTCTTGAAACTATTTAAATAGAAAAAGAATTTTATTCAATTGTATTTTCAGTTTTTATTCGAAGGACAGAACATTTCATTATCTCTCTTTAAGGCAAATGAATTACTTCTTATATCACTCTTTGGTGAACATAATCTACTCTTTTTGGATTATATTAGCATTTTCTTTTCTTGATTTTTAGAGTTAAACTTTTGAAAAATCAAATATGCTGTGGTGGAATATGAATACTTTGCGGGTTTCAGAAGTGAAGAGTTACTTGTCCATTATATATTCTTCTCTGTGATTTTATCTCTAGTTAATCTTTCTGGAGGCTGTGTTTCTGCCTCTCTCTGTCTCTCTGTCTATTAGACAGATGCTAATTCCAGTGTATCCGCTCATTGCCTCTTCACCCACATCAGTTGATGTACTATCTGTCCCCTGTTCCGAAACCAGATAATCATGCTTGTAAAATCCAGTCTTATTCTTTGTACAGTTAGAAGTCAGTCAGTCCTGGAAGAGATTCAGTACCTCCTATGGAAGAAGGTCTTCACTTTTCTATACAATAAATTATTTGGCTTTAGAGATAATTATTGCACCCCATAATCTTGGCTCTTCTTGGTTTGTGCTGTGTTTTGAACTATTGAGATTCTTGAAGGCAGAACATTATCCATATGTTGCTTAATAGCTTCTAGATTTCATGCTAAGTAAGGCTGATAATTAGGTAATAGGCATTGGTTGTTTTCAATTTTTTTTAATGCTGTAAAAGATTACATAAAAGAAAATTTAGTCTTCAAATTCTCCACCTGTAAGGTGAGGAACTTTAGAAGATATAAAAAGCTGCATTTCAGCTCCAAAAAATGTTGACTCTTAAATGAAACCAACTTCAAAGCATATTTTAAAAAAGCTAAACAGAATCTCCTTTGAATAAGTAAAATTGAGACAGAAGTTTGTAGTGTTGTTTTGTGTCTATATGTATATATTACCATACTCTCTTCAAATTACTGGTGATATTTTTTCTTTAAGGATGAGACACAAATAAATCATTTGGGGAAGCACTTTGTGCATGGGTGGGACTGGTGGACTTGACTGTAAGATGAATGGTCAGGCACCCAGCCATTTGTTTAAGCCTCCCAGATATCAGTATCTATAGATCTGCATTTTTAGGGGAATTTAGTTTTTCAGGAAGAATCATTCAATCTTTGGGGTATGACAGTGACAGATATTATTCTAGGTTGCCATGGTGTTTGGCTCTGAGGGGGCTGAGATGAGGTGGTGATCTTGTCATTCAGTGTGTAGACTTTCACTTAACACCCCTTTGTCTGCTTCCACCTGCACCTCAGTTTCTTGCCTTTTTCTACTATGTACTTTATCTGGTTGGCTTCTTCCAGTCTCCTGTTGATAAGATGGTGGTGGAATAACTTGATTATCTGGGGTATAGGAGGTGTCCTGGGGAATTGTTGGCTTCTTTTAAATATTTGTCCTATTTCCTACTCTGTCCTGCTTTCTTAACTCTACAGCATCTTTCCATTTTTATTCCCTATTGTAATTACATCTAGTAGAGGTAGCATTTAATGGAAAGCATAATAAAGAAACCATGAGCTTGGAGTCAAACTTTGGTAAAATTATTTCACTTCTCTGAGCTTGTTTCTGCCTATACAGTGGGGAGAGAAGAAGAACGGCTTCATCAGATTGTCAGGATTAAATAAGATTATGCATAATTGCCTGACACAAAGCATTCATGTTATAAATGCTTATTCTGTTCAAATAAATAATTTTCCCCTCATAATATGTTTATATGCTGAGTTTTAGATATCTGTCTAAAGATTTGAAATGAGCAGAACAAACCAAATTAAATGAGCTATTAACTTGAGCTCTTTTCTTCAGTTCTAAACTTTCCCATTCAGCAATTTGTAGTGAAATTCAAAGTAGCCATTTAATCACCTAAATATTGGAGGTAAAATACTATTTGAAATATAAGCAATTTAGACAATTTTTAGATTTTACATTTGTAAAATGGCCCACTTATTAATTGCATTTGGCAAAACACTTGTATGAAGAATTATGAACATTTCTTTATCACAGAAATTGCCTGTTGGTTTCAGTTAAACAGTCATCAGGCCTTTAATCCCATTACTTCTTTCTGTATCTGATTAGCAAGTCTGCATCAGAAACTAGTGGTAGATAATAAGTTAGCTTCAGCAAAAATTTTAAAATATCAATTACCAATTGGTTTATACATTCTGTGCCTTGCAATCTAATGAAAACTGTTATGATGAAAACTGCTTATGCTTCAAGTATTCTGCTTGACATTAGTGAATCTGAAATATTTTTGGAGAGAGATTTATAAAAAAAATAGACTAATATTTTTACCCTTTTTTGTTCTATAATTTTTGGTTTTTTATTTCTTTATTCAGTTTCCTACTCAACTTTTTCAAAAAAATTTTACTTCTCCCTCAAACAAACAACCCTCCTCCCATAAATACTCTATCAAACACTAAATATTTATTCATGATGCCCCATTCTAATATCAGTAAATTAATTATCAATAATATATCTCATTTACTCAAGATATTTTGTTACTTGTGGTAAGGATGGCAAAAAACCAAAACGGTAGTGTTTGGTTTCTGTCTTTTGTGAACTTACAGTATATTTGAGAGTTATGATTTATTTGAGAATATGAAATACATGAACATTTAATTAACACAGACAATATTGTAGATGCTGGATAGCAAGGCAGATTTTATTGTCAGATGAATATAAATTATAATAACTCACTTCAGGGACAAAGTGTTCACTCTAAATAAAAGGCTTTAAACTAACATTTGTTGAGACCCTGCTTTGTACAGGTTTGTATTAAAAGCTATAGTGCTCATTTACTTTTCAGTATCTCTTTAAGGTAGGTAGTTTTATTTCCCATTGGTAGATGACTAAACTAAAGGCTCAGAAACAAGGTAAGCCAGCTGGAAGAGATGGCGATTTTCTGACGCTTTGTTGAGTAAGCTTTAAAGGAGAGTAGGATTAATAATTGGAGGTAGGAACATAATCAGAGGCTGGAGTGGCAAACAACAAGCTGTGATGAAGGGCTGGGGAGCAGCCCAATGTCACTGGAGGAGAAAGTCGTGGTACAGAGAAGTGGAAAATAGGGTCCCAAAGTAGCATATTTGAAGACAAGCATGCTAGGAGGTGGAATCTGAACTTGACCCAGAAGAACAGTGGGAAGCCACCAAAGGATTTTAGCCAGAGGAGTGAAAGAACAGCTGTGCTTTGAGAAGGTTAACCTGGAAAGAGGGAAGCCTTTTGGACAGTGGTCAATAGGAGGCTCTTAGAGCAAACAAAGTATGAATAGTAAGAGTATGGACTTTGGTGATAGCATGGGAAAGAGAAGGGGGTAATTATAAGACATTTTGAAGGTAGAATTGACAAATCTTAGTGATAGGATGGCTAAAAACAAATCTAAAAATTTTAGCATACTTTTGCTATAAGCATGGCTACTACCATTCTTTATTCAGGAAAAGTTATGTTGCATTCATTTAAATTAAAATTTCACTCAAAACTATTTATTTTGTATATTAAAAACTCCTAGGAAAAAAGTAAATTGATGAGAAATTGTTTAACTTGTGTCTTTTAGTTTTCCCCATTTATACCATAGATTATCGCAAAAACATGAATTGGCAATTATCTTCCTGGTATAGATTATTTGTTAATTTTATGTCAATTTATTGAACTTCTGTTTGAGAAACAAAAACAGTAGATACATGAAATCTGTTGCTAAAAAAAAAAAAGACTAAATAAGAAAACTCCATTAAACACATCAATTAAAGTGGGTTAGTATTCACTGACTGTGCAGTCCATAACAATTTAGGCTAATCTCTGTCTGCCTAAATTCTGAACTTCGTATAAAGTTTAAGAGAAAACAGGCACAATCTTTGCATTCAGAACACGTGAGCTGAAATGTGAAATAAAAATAAAGTTTTTATTACTCCTTAAAAACTAACAGATTTATTTTTTTTTAAAGATTTTATTGGGGAATTGGGGGAGAGGTACAGTGTTGGGGAATCGGGGAAGGGGAACAGACAAGTTGCTGTCCTTTTTTGTTCTTCAGTCTAATTGTGGAGGATGCCGCTTCACTGGCTCATGTTGGTGTTATCCTCATGCTCTTCCCGGGTGAGGCAGATCAGTCACCGGCTTCTAGACGGCCGCTCACTGTGACTGCTGGCCGCTCATGCTGGCTGCTGGCTACACACGGTAGCCCATGGCAACCCACTGCCATAGGGGCTGCAGCCTACTCCATCGCCGGCCACTCACGGCAGCCCGGCTCCAGGTCAAGCTGGTGTTCACCATCTTAGCTGTAGAGGGCACAGCATCACAGGCCCTAATGTGGGATCCGAACTGGGGTCCTGCTGCTCAGAGCTCGTGTCCCAAGACACCTCTTAACCAACGTGCCACTCGGCTGGCCCCTAATAGATGTTTTTAATGTTTTGCTATCTATTTCACTGTCATTTGACAGTGTATTTGTTGTTTCAGTAAAAAGTAGCAATATATGGTGCTAATAGAATTCTTTGAGTTGGAAAGGGTACATCAAATTGTATTAATGTCAAAGAATATCTTGATTTCAGGATGTCCCTAAATCGGGTACTAGTTGCAGCTCTCGCTGTTCAAGTTCCAGACAGGATTCTGAGAGCACAAGGCCAGAATCTGAAACAGAAGATGTGCTATGGGAAGACTTGTTACATTGTGCAGAATGCCGATCATCTTGTACCAGTGAGACAGATGTGGAAAATCCTCATATTAATCCAAGTGTGAAAAAAGAATATAGAGACGATCCTTTCCATCAGGTTAGTTTCCAGTCTTGGATTTTGTGGGCTATTAGTCCAGCTCCTTTGAATGTATGTGCAGATTTTATAGAAGTGAAGAAAAAGCTTACATTCAATCAAAATAATATTCCCATAATTTGTTTTTTAATGCAAGCTGCGGTCTAGCTTCATTGGAACATAGAATCTCAGTATTTATGTTATGGATGTGTCTTTCACCTTGGAAACATATGTTCCTGAGACGTTGTTGGTAAATGGAGTTTTGTAAGTCAAATTGTGTTTTAGATGCAATTGTCTTTTTCTCACTCAACATACATCATGGTCAGATCATCTCTACCTGTGGCCTTAACTCCACCTATGAGATTATAATTCACAAATTTGCATTTCATGAATACAGATTTGTATCTCCAAGTGCTATAGTGATGCTATCCAGTAGAAATAGAAGAGTCACATATGTAATTTAAAATTTTCTGATAGCCTCATTAAAAACATTTAAAAATGAAATTAGCGGTTTTTTTTTTCTTTTTTCCAGCTGAGCCATCCTGTCACCTGTTGGCAGTTCAGCGGCACCTCAGCTTGGGGCAGGAATCGAACTGCTCTTGCTCAGAGCTCGCACTCTTGAGCGAGCTCTTAACCAACTGAGCCACTTGGCTGGCCCCCTAAAATGAAATTAGTTTTAATGTTTTATTTAAGACAGTATATTTAAAATATCACTTCAAGTAATGAAAAACGTCAACGAAATATTGTACTTTTTTTATACTAAGCCTTCAGAATCTATTGTAAACACAACACATCTCATTTGTACTAGCCACATTTCAAGTGCTCGGTAGCCACATGTGAGTAGGGCCTACCATACTGCACAACATTTGAATGTCCCACCAGTACCTCAGATTTAACCAAACAGACCATCTTCCCTCATAAATCTGTTTTTCTTGGTGGATGACAGCTCCATCCATCTGCTCACTGGTCCAGAAACTTGGTGGTCATTTAAAATCCTCACTTCCTCACTTTCATCTCTGTCTTATCCAAGTCCTCAAAAAGTCCTAATAATAAAACTAACGAGTAAACTCTTAGAAACCGAGAGATAGAAGGGAACTTCCTTAATCTCATAAAAGGTAGCTATAAAAGAGCTTTCTAAAAACCTACATATTTAATGATGAAATTTTAGGAACATTTTTAGTAAAGACAGGAACAAGACAGAGATACCCATTATCACTGCTTTTTCTATCAAAATCCTACCAGTGTGTTTGGTTGTCTGTCTGTTTTCAGTTGAACTTAGACGGATTTAAATGTCAATAGCAAAAACAATTTTACTTTAAAGGTATACTAATTAAGATAGTATAGTATAGGTGTATGCTATAGACTAAGAGGTTGTGTCTTCACCAAAATATATATGTTGAAACCTAATCCCCAATGTGATGGTATTGGAAGTGGGGCTCTTGGGAGGTGATGAGGCCATGAGGGTGGAGCCCTCAGGTATAGTATTGGTGCCCCTATAAAAGAGGTCCCAAAGAGCTCCCTTGCCCTTTCCACCATGTGAGGACACAGCAGAAAGAAGGCAGTCTGAACCAGGATGTGGAGTCACCAGACACCAAATCTGTTGGCATCTTGATCTTGGACTTCACAGCCTCCAGAACTGTAAGAAGTAGATTTCTGTTGTTTCTAAGCCATCCAATCTGATATTTTGTTACAGCAGCCCCAAACAGACTAACACAGCATATAAACAAATAGACCAATGCGTCAGAATAGAAAGCCCAAAATAGATACATACTTATGTGGATCCCTGATATATAACATAAACAGCATTACAAATCAATGGGCAAAGGATGGACTGCACAGTATATGGTTGTGGGTCAAATGATTATCCATGCATAAAAATTTATTCCAAATAGTTCCTAAATGTGAAGAAGCAAAACTTTAAAGTATTTAGAAGAAAATATAGAGAAAACTCTTCGTTACTTCAGGTATGAGAAGAATTTTTTAAGTAAGATATGAAAAGCACAAACATCAAAAATTAGGGGATTAACAAATTTGAATATCTTAAAATTTAAAAGAATGTGAAGAAAAAACTCTTATTCAATGCTTCTGTTACTGTAAATTTATACAACTACTTGGGAGAGCAGTTTCTCATTACATAGTAAAACTGGAGTCCTGCATACTCTAGGACTCTTTCATCTCACTGCAAGGAAACTTGAGAAGATAGGCACAAGGAGATATATAAAAATAATTTTATAAGTGTATGATACTGCATTGTGCATGATTGTAAAAAATTAAAAATGATATGATAGCCAACAATAGAATTAATAAATCATGGCATATGATAGAACAACATACAGCAGTGAAATTGAATGAACTCGACTTCATTATCAAAAGGAATAAATCTTGTGAATATAATTTTGAATGAAAACAAGTCGTAGGAGTATACATACAGTATACCATTTATATAAAGTTTTAAAACATAAGGCTATATGATATATTGTTATAGATAATAGCATATGCAGTTAGAGTATAAAAACATGCAAGGGAATAATAAATAGACACCAAATTTAGGATAATAGACCTGAGAAATGAAAGAAGGAAATGAGAATAGGGAAGGGTACAACATGAGTTTCAATTTTGCCTGTAATATTTTTTATCTGGAGCAAATAAGGGGAGATAGTTAAAATATGATGAAGTCGAGTATTATTATTCTCTATCTGATTGAAATGTTTCATTTTAAAAAATATATCCCTTAGCTTTGGCTTCGGCCTTGGGAAAAATGTCAGGGGAAAGCAGCTTTGCTGCAGGGGGCTGAGGTGAGAATGAGGAATGAGGTTTAAGAAGAATGGCCATGAATGTCTGGAAAATGAAGTAGTAATATGGGGAACTAGAGCTGAAGGAATAATTTGGTTCCCACCTGACTCCCCAAGTTGTGAAGTATTTGACCACATGTGTCTGTAGGAGAAAACTAGCAGGGAAGAATTCAAGCAGTCAGGGCAAAAAGTTGGATGAGGTTTCTTAGGATTCTGGGAGGGAAGCATAATTAGGAAGAATAATTAGCTTGGACAGGAAGAGGAACACATCCTCTGCTGACATAGGAGGAGGAGGAGGAAAAGTGCATAAAGAAGTAAGATGATGAGATAGTTACTGCCTAATGGTCTGTATTCTGTGAGTGCAGGAGGTCAGGGGTCTGTTAACAGTAAAAAGTGAGATGATAGGACATGGGACTTGGGGATGGTGGTGAAGGCTTGAAGCTATCACTTGCAGGAAATGGAGACTGGAGAGAGTGTGTGTGCATGTATTCAAACCACTTAACACATTAGAAGAGTCACACTGTCACATTGTTGAGGGTCCAACTGGAATCTGAAAACATGAGTTTGTAGTTGCCCATCCCACACAGTTGTGTTGTAGTCTCTGCAATATCATTGTTATATTCATAACAATAGCAAATATTTAATAAGCATTTATTATATGCCTGGCACTTTGCAAAGTAATCTAGATGCATTATCACATGTAATCCTCACAACCCATTACAGTATGGTTTATTTTTTATTTTATAGATGAGGACATTGAGGATCAGAATTAAATAATGCACCCAAAGTCACACAACATAGGTGCTTGACAAATAGTTGCTATTCAAAGGACAGGAGAGGGGATGGTATACTCATTGAAATAATAGATATGTTAGATTAAGAAGGAAATGAAACCATGAAGGGACTGATAGATTCAAGGAAACAAGTGTTTTAGAATTGAAGGTTTGAGAGACCTGAAAAGTTGAGAGTTTGTGGTCGAAGACTCATTTCAGAAGTGAGGCAGTTCTGTGTGGTGACGAGGTCTAGGGTGTGTCCATGGGAGTAGCAGAAGGTTCCTGGAATGTAAGAAGGGAAAAAGCAATGATCAATCCATGAGAGAGAATAGGGCTGTTCCACGAGAATGGACATGCAGCATTTGCATATTCATCTGAGTCACTGAGGATAACCACTGGGACTGAGTGAGTTTCAGGGACATGCCTCATGCCTGTGAGCTGTTTTCCCAGCGACACCTAAGCGGCCTAAAAGCTGGGATTGTTGTTGAGTCCCACAGTGCCTGTTATGTAGTAAGAGCTTAGTAAACATGAGTTGAATGAGTGAATGATATGGAATAAATTTTTTTTCAAAACATGCGTATTAGGCCTTTCTTAAATGATTAAAAATTGTTTTTAATGAATGCTATACAGAATAAATTGGCACTGAATCTGTCACACCATTATTCTCCTTTTTTGGTAAGATGAAATTTTCTAAATGTTCTACTTGGCATGACTAGTTATAGTATCCATTGGTTTTGCTTTTGGATGGAGGACTTGATTTTACACACGTTTCTTATTCTCAGACTTCTGAAAAATAATCTCAAGTTTTTAGTTTTACTAGTAGCCATGTGATGGAAATTAGCTCCCTTTGATGAAAAGCTACTAGCTTTTTCTTGTTTGATTAAGGTCTTTATTATGTTTGGAGGACCCTTTTCTGCCCACCATAAAGACTGAAAAATCCCTCCTTTTAAAGAAACACTGAACATTTGAATCAATGTATTCTAGTCAGGGTGTTACCAAATTTGTAGTTTTGTTTTATTTTCTTTGTAAACAGTACCTGAAACATTTATACAGGAGAAGATTTTCCTCATCTAGTCATGGCTGAGTATATAATAAAATATAAAGCCATATTAAAGTGAAATTCATCTTTCAGCAGGTAAAACCAGATTTTAATGGATATAGTTCCCTCAGGTAGGAACTTCAGTTAAGCAGTTGTCATGGTGAATTTATTTGAAATAAAACCTGCCACCATTTAAGTGTTATGACTTTAAGGCAGTTTTGAATGAACAAGGAGCAAATCAGTTGAGATTTTGAATAAGGATAAATAAAGAACAATCATCAAGAGTTCCAAACTTCAGTTTGAAAAACATACTAAAGGACCTATATGATAAAATTATAAAATGGAATTCTTTGCTTTGATGTTTACCCTGAGCCTTTTTAAAAAACTGTTTTATGTGATACTGCTCTCCATACAGTTAGGCAGTACATGTTTTGACAAGACTGTGTTTCAGAATACACACATTTGACAAGTGCAAGTATAGGGTTCTTTTAATTAACTCTTTTAAAATTCACCAGTTTCTAGTTGCATTCTTCTCTGTTGCCTTTTGGCTTTCTGGAAATAGGAAAATGATCTCAGATGCTAGTTGGAGTAACTGGGAAAGCAGCTGGACAGAAAGAGCACTTTTGGAAGGAAGCGAAGAACTTTTTGATTTCCTGTTTCTGTGTCTAGATGGACCTCCGTAGTGTTGATATGCCTTACTTCATGTAATTGAAAAACGTTTAATTCACTGTTACAGACTGAGCGTTAAAAAGGAACAAGGAAAGAAAAAAAACAGAGGAAGCCTGTAAATCTGTGGTTGAAACCTTTTGCCTCTTAGGCTTAACACTTTCCATTTGGCTTCTCGCACTTGTTCCTAGCTCTGTAGTTTCATTATATTTCATAACTATTAAACTTCCAGGGAAAGTTTGATACATATTTTGATGCATATTATTTCTATCCCAAACCAGAATATTTTATTTGGAAATAAACTATGAAACATTATTTGAAAAATTAAGTGGATAGTTAATAACCAGTATATCATAGCTCTTAATGATCTCCAATAGTGAAATATGCAACTATGAAGGTTAATGTATATTAAAATGCTATATCTTTGGGTAAGATAAATTTTTAGAGGAAACCTGTTCCTAATCAAATAATTAATGTAAAAGAGCTTTGCCAGTAGCTTGACCACTAGCATTATGATTTGCCTATAATTATTCATCAGTTTTTATTCTGTTTACAGGTAACATGTTATATATAGCTTTACATAAAGAAAATAAATGCATGAGGTCAGAATAACAATAATAATTTCTTTTTGCTGTTTTCTTACATATTATTGAATTATTTTATACCTTTAATGAAATGAATCAATGCAACTTTACTGTCCCTAGAGGAAAATCTTTTCCTTAAGTTTACAGAAACATCTCTTTACCATTTTTTAATCACATTTTGTCCTCCAAAGAATAAATAAAACTAGGGTAGATTATACTGTTCATTGTTAAGTCATTTTAATGAAATGTGTTATAAAGTAAGTTAGAAATACTATAATGTCAACAAATTCATTCCATTCTGAGTCTAATCTTTTAGTGTTTTATCAATATCTAATAATATAAAGATTACTGTTTCATTAATTTTGTTGCTATCTTTAACCCCCAACTATCCTACTTTGAGGTTTTATTCCTTTGTAGATCTAAAACAAGCAAAACTTAAGCATCTGATTCTTTGTATTAAAGCTTTCAGTGTTTCTTTTTACCTTTTTTATTTCTTGAAACATTGAGAAATACTTTATACTATCATTTGGGAGAGTACTTCTAGTTCTGTGTGCTTTAGTTTGCAATATGTATTTGCTTTGAGAAAAGTTAAATCAGTCCTTTGGAGAAATGCTAGATTAAAATATCAGAAAAATAACTAAGTCAAAATTAAGTATAGGTGTGTGAGGACGAGTGAGTGTCTTTCAGGATGAGATTGTATCACTAATCTTTCAAAGAGGTTCAATTCTCAGCTGTCATTTTTTTTGTATTGAATGATCATAAGTCATACAATCAGTAATATGAACAATTTGATACCCATTTGTACATTAGTATATTAGTAGCTATGTAGACAGATTGACAACTAAGTGCTTTTGCTGACACATTTTACAGTATTTTTGAACAATATGTTGCCGAATATCTGTTATAGAAAGTTCTTAACTTACACATTTTTATAACTGTGTAATAGCTTATGCCATCTGTTCAATGTGTATGCTAGCTAATGTTAAGATAGAATTTTAGTGTCATTGAAATTGTGTGTATATAGGTACAGATATAGCTATGCACATATATGCATGTTCTATTTGTAAAACATTAATGCATTCACCAATTTCTATTTTTTATATAGTTAAAATTATGTTTGTATATATGTGTTTATACATGTGTATGTTTTATTTATGAAATGTGATAAATGTATTCACCAATTCCTATGTTTTTTGTAGAGTCATTTGCCCTGGCTCCATAGCTCCCACCCAGGACTAGAAAAAATCAGTGCTATCGTGTGGGAAGGTAACGACTGTAAGAAGGCAGACATGTCTGTACTTGAAATCAGTGGAATGATAATGAACAGAGTGAGTTTTTTAATTTTATTATTTTAGTTCAAGGATAAGACAGTGATTATTAATATATTAAATAATTACTGGAATGCTATATTTATAACCTACTGTACTCATTTCTTCAACCTAAAAAAATAAGTTAACCGTATTTGCTCTGTTGGTGATTTCAACAGAGATTGTCAGCAAACCACTCTTTATCTTTTAGTGTTTT